AGGTTGGACGATCTCTAGCCTTTTAACTAGGGAGCAGGTCCTTGTCCATGCTGCCATGTTGCACTGCCAAAACACTGGCTCTACATAGGGTCATCTGCATTTAGTGTCAGCCACTGTAGTGAGCAGCCCTTCTGTGATGAGCCACATCTGTAAAATACTGATTTTTTTTTTTTTTTTTAGCATGAAACTCCTTTATTCTGTGTTTTCACCAGTGTAATAAGCAGCTCATTTTAAGGTAATAAAAACACAATGATTCATATTTGCAGGTGAATATATATATGTATATCTATCACATTTCTGCCAATATGCCCTCTAAATACAGACTGAAGCTTTAACAATGTGCTATGCAGATTCAAATTAAACATACAAAATATAATCAGCATTTTATTATCAAAGGACAGAGAAAATATATACTGAACTGATTCCTGAGGGGAATTCACAAGCTATGCAGAGGTATATAAAATAGTTAAAATGAGCTTTTACCAGCTGCAACATTAAAGTGATGCACATATTAGTGCATCAATAATTATAATCCAATATTATACATATATTATTCTGAAATGGGCCATTCTGCGTAATGAGTACTTTAAAGTTTAGTACTTTGAAGGAATACTTCACCCACAAAATGACCAACTGTAAATGAGTCATGCTGTGTTACCTTGGAATTGTGAAGAAAACTTAGTTTATCTTGCATGCCTCCTGTAAATGGCAAACATATTGATTTATTGATTGGTTGGGGACCACATTTAAAACAGCTAATCTATATCAAAACATCCATTTTCACTAAAACATCACTGTTTAAAACTGAACTGAAAGGGAAACTTACCTTTGCTCTCTTCAGAGCCAAACTCCAAAACTAAGGGTTTTTTTTTTAGCAAAACAAATGTTTGGGAAGTACTGAGCATATGACTAGATAAATGAGACATGTTTTGATGTAGTTTTGCTGTTGTTAAATGATAAATATGTTCACCATTTTCTATGTAGGCATACAAAAAAAACAAAGTTTCCTTCTTGATTACGAAGGTAACAAGGCATGACTCATTTACAGCGGGTCATTTTGTCAGTGAAGTATTCCTTTAAGTCTATTTTAATACCTCTACTTTTGTACTTTTGATGTTGTTCCTAATGTGTATGCAGGACTTTTACTTGTAGCAGAGTATTTCTACAATGTGGTACTGTTACTTTTACTTAAGTAAATAATCTGAGTACTTCTTCCACCACTGTTTGGGAGCAGACACTGCACATCTAGTTTGATGTTTACTGACAGAAAGGACTTGTCCATACTGGTGACTATTTAGATCTCAGCAAAGTGCATTATAAAATATGTGAAAAGCCGTATTAGCAGTATTAACAAGAGCTTCTTGGTGTCAGGTCTTCTGGGACAGGTCTGCTCTGTGTCCCCAGAGTCAAGACAAAACATGGAGAAGGTGCATTTAACATTTAGTTTTTATCAATCAATCAATTTTATTTATAAAGCCCAATATCACAAATCACAATTTCCCTCACAGGGCTTTACAGCATACGACATCCCTCTGTCCTTATGACCCTCGCAGCGGATAAGGAAAAACTCCCCAAAAAAAAACCCTTTAACGGGGGAAAAAAAACGGTAGAAACCTCAGGAAGAGCAACTGAGGAGGGATCCCTCTTCCAGGACGGACAGACGTGCAATAGATGTCGTACAGAACAGATCAGCATAATAAATTAACAGTAATCCATATGACACAATGAGACAGAGAGAGAGAGAGAGAGAGAGAGAGAGAGAGAGAGAGATGCAGGTAATGACAGTAGCTTACAACAACATTAATGAAAGTAATAATATTATAGTTATAGTTCTGGCTACTGTGGTACAATATGTTGAAAGTATGTATTAATATCTGACAGTATACTTGTGTGACAATAGTCATATGTGTATAATAACAGTAGAAGTATGACTAATGACTAATGATGGCAGCAGCAGCAGGAGGCATCTGGCAGGACCACGGCAGCAGCACAACCACACACGTCACGCTGTCCAGGCACCGCTGCGGTATGAGTTAATCTGAGAGACAGTGGAGCACAAAGGCTCCGGAGAAGAAGCCGAGTTAGTGACATCCAGAATGGCCGAGTTAGCAAGATGCAGTAATAGGATACGAGAGAGAGAGAGAGAGAGAGAGAGAGAGAGAGAGAGCCCGGTGTATTATAGGGGGTCCTCCGGCAGACTAGGCCTAAGTCAGCCTAACTAGGGGCTGGTACAGGGCAAGCCTGAGCCAGCCCTAACTATAAGCTTTATCAAAGAGGAAAGTCTTAAGTCTAGTCTTAAATGTGGAGACGGTGTCTGCCTCCCGGACCGTAACAGGAAGATGATTCCACAGGAGAGGAGCCTGATAGCTGAAGGCTCTGGCTCCTGATCTACTTTTGGAGACTTTAGGGACCACGAGTAACCCTGCGTTCTCAGAGCGCAGTGTTCTGGTGGGATAATATGGCACTATGAGCTCTCTAAGATATGACGGAGCTTGACCATTTAGAGCTTTATAAGTTAACAGTAGGATTTTAAATTCAATTCTGGATTTTACAGGGAGCCAGTGCAGAGAAGCTAAAACAGGAGAAATATGATCTCGTTTCTTAGTTCCTGTTAGTACACGTGCTGCTGCATTCTGAATTAGCTGGAGAGTTTTTAAGGACTTACTAGAGCTACCTGATAATAGAGAGTTACAGTAATCCAGCCTAGAGGTAACAAAAGCGTGGACCAGTTTTTCTGCATCTTTTCGGGTCAGGATAGGCCTAATTTTCGCAATATTACGCAGATGAAAAAATGCAGTCCGTGAGGTTTGTTTTAAATGAGAATTAAAAGACAAATCTTGATCAAATATTACTCCGAGGTTTCTTACGGTAGTGCTAGAGGCCAGAGCAATGCCATCTGGAGAAACTATGTCATCAGATTCTCCATGTATCTGGAACTCCTTTGTGGCTTTTATTAGACAGGACAGGTTGAGTGTGAAAGGGGGAAAAGAGGGGACGACATGCAGTAAAAGGCCACAGGACAGAATCTAACCCGAGGCCACTGCAGCAAGGACACAGCCCTCGTAAATGGGACATGTGCTCCATGAGGTGAGCTGCTGGGCGCCCCAGCTCTCAGTTCTTTTAAATCAAGGCTGAAGACTCTTCTGTTTGCTGCTGACACATTAAATCAAATGTTAATTAATTTCTTACACTACACTCCAACTTCCACTCTTCTATTTTACACCTGTGTTAGTATATTTAAATTTTTTATTTTCTATTCTTTACATGTCCTTTTCTAACGTGTTTCTTTTGCGCCTTGTCTTGATGCTTTTCATGCTTCATGTAGAGCACTTTGAATTTTCTTGCTGCTGAAATGTGCTTCATAAATAAACCTGCCTTCTCATTCTATAAATCTGGCACTCATTCACCACTGAACAGATGCACTCAGTGGATGCAATTCTGACTGAGCTGTGCTGCAGTGCAGTTTCCTTACAGGGACCACAGGGGGCGGTACAAGCCTTGCTTTAGAGAGCAGGCGAGCTGTCCTTAAACAACCTCGCTGCTCCACAACATAAAAGATAGAGGCTACTGTACCGCTGCGTTGCGGTACAGTACATGCTGTCCTTGTTCTTTAGAGAACAACAAAAAAACAAAAAAAAAACAGCAGCTGCAGCAGAAAATCAAACAACATAACAACTGGTACACAAGACTTTAATAGACCGACATAAACATATGAAATGTGATCGGCTCCAGTTAATTTGCAAAATATGTAAAATTCACCACAAAGAAAACATAAGACGTTGGCACATTGAGAGTAGGCACATGAGTTGGTACAGTACACAGGCTGCTTGTTCTGCCGCTTCCAGTAAATATTTTAGACACTTAAACACCATCCTCTGCGTCATGGAATGTACATTTACTGAGGCACAAATGTCATTTAAGTTTCTCATTTTACATTTTATACCCATTTGCTTTGCCAACAATGAGACAATGTCACTATATATATATGTAGCTTTTTGTTTTCCCACCCGTTAGACCTGCTGTTTCTTTTCTTTATTAGTAATATCTCTACAGTACACAGTGTTTTATTTAGGCAATCTCAATGTACAGCTATCTGTGATATATCAAACACTGATGCATTTCAAAAACTGGCTTATTGTGTTAAAGAAAAAACAAATGTTTGTAGAAAATACTTTTATACAGAACTCATCAAAGTAAAATATATAAAAGAAATCTTTTTATTGTTAATTCTGAAACTCTGTAACTCTGAAACAATATGTAAAATGCAACACATACGTCATCTGGGAATAAAACTCTGCATTTAGGATATGTGTGAAAGAATAAAGTTGTGTATTAGCTTACTTACAGTGTCCTTACATTTAATACTACAAAATAGTCAAGCAGATCTCCAGCGAATTGGTGTCAGACCTGTTTTAGTATTAGTCTTGTGAATGATGTATGACATACACCTGATATGGATTTTGTTTTTTTTATTAAAGGTCCAGTGTGTAGGATTTAGGGGGAGATATTGACAGAAATGTAATATAATAAGTATGCTTTCTGTAGTGTATGATCACCTGGAAATAAGAATCGTTGTGTTTTTGTTACCCTAGAAAGAGCCGTTTATATCTACACAGGAAGCAGGTCCTCGTCTACGGAGATTGCAATTTTGCACCGCCATGTTTCTGCAGTAGCCCAGAACAGACAAACTGAACACTGGCTTTAGATAGGGCTATTTGCATTTTCATGTTGGGTACCGTAGTTAGCAGCCTCCGCAAGGACAGCATCGGACGTGGATTTTTTTTTTTAACACGGAACTGCCTTATTCAGTGTTTTTACCAGTTTAAATCACCAGGTCCGTTTGTTTTGGGAAGACAGAGACCTCTGCAGATCATTCGGCTCATGATAAAAACCTCCTGAACTTCTGGATCTTAAGTCATCAGAGGAAAAAAGATGAGCACACATTTGCAGGTGCTGGGCGTGCAGCCTGTCTCCGACATGCCAAACAGCATTGAAGAAACACTGATTTGTAAAGTGAAACTGCTGTATTAGGTGTTTCTACTGGTTTTAATCACCTGGTCTGTTTGTTCTGGAGAGGAAGAGACCTCTGCAGATGATTCGGCTCATGATAAAAACGCCCAGAACAATAAACACTTGGTTGCAATCTGCAATCTTCACTGCTTGTTGTAAGTAATATATTATAGGCAATTGGGCTTGCTTGAGGTTCTTGAAGATGTTTGACCTCCCATCCAAGAAGCTTCTTCAGTTCTGAACTGAGCAAGACTCTTGGATGAGAGGTGAAACATCATCAAGAAACTCAACCAAGTTCAATTGCCCTACAATATATTGTAGTACTCAGAGCTACCATGACCTGGATGATTGAGAATCTTCACCAACATCTCACTGCTTGATGCCACTAAATCCCCCTAAACCTCACACACTGTTCCTTTAAAAAGTTTGACTCCGACACCCACTGTGCAATAACGCCTTGCTGAGAGTTGGCTGAGTGGATGGATACCACCCTCATGTCTCTGAGCTGGAGACAGCAGCGGTTAGCTTAGCTTAGCATAAAGACTGGAAACAGAGGGAAACAGCTAGCATGGTTCTGTCTGAAGGTAACAAAATCCACCAATCAGTAACTCTAGAGCTCACCGATAAACATGCAATGTCTTATTTGCTCTTTGTACAAAACCTCGTACAAAACGAAGTGTTAAAACAGTAATTTGAGGTTTTACGGGGGACTATTTCTTGATTGGGCGCTACAACTTCCGGGAGTCACTGTGTGGTTGCTAAGCAAAAAGTGCTCCCAGGCTGTGTCCGAAATCACTCCCAATTTACTATACAGTGCTCAATATTTACCCTCTGTCATTTCATTACAGTGTAAGTGTGAATTTAATGCATTATACAGTGCTTTCAAAAAACATGCGTAGGTGGAATAAAAAAAACCTGTGTGCATGGCACGTACCAACCTGTTCTCATTCTCAGGCGTCAATTACAGGCACTTTGTTACAACCCTTGGCATCATGTGACTCAGAGCTAGAACACACTGTAACATGTTGTGAACCAGCCAAGGTTAGATTCAGACAACATAACAGATCATGTTTTAGGTTAAAATAAGTATGTCTTTTATGTATTGTAACTTAAATATATCACGTTACAGATATCAGCAACTCGTGTACCTAAATTGTGTCACGATATGTAAAAACAACACTGGCTGTTGGTTTCACATGGGGCGAAGGTACGTAAGTTACGTAATGTTGCGTTAAAATTACATTCCCACAGGACACAAACTGTGGTCTCCTGTATTAAAGTCCGGTTTTGTTTGACCCATCCACCTCCACTCCCTCCCACTCTACACGGACTTTCTTGCTCTTTGAACTACGTCACTTTCTTTAAGTGTCAACTTTTTCCACATATGGGTTTACAGTGGAGTTAGTTGAAAACCTGGTGTGTCCCATAAAGACGCAACAAGGTGCCTTTGGCGTTGAGATGACATGCGAGGGGCGTGACAAGGTGGCAATATTTGACGTTCTGGGAATGAGAAGGGGCTGCATGGACACTGCTTTCTGCAAACAATCCCACAGAGCAGTGTATCAAATTTTATAGAAAACTACCGCTGAGCGACTCTACTTGTGGCGGTGATCACAAATCACTTTGCTGATTTGATCTGAATTGTTTGGTTCGGTTCACTGACTGTGGTTTGTTCACTTTTCTTCAAAGCTAAGCATTTTTCTGTTCTCTGCAATTTCTCAGTTGTCAGTTTGTCAACGCTGGTTATGAAGCAGATAGATTTGCTTTGTTTCTCCAGTTATCTTCAATTAGCCCAGAGCTTTCATATTACACATATGGGAATCTATGTATTGCAGAGGACACTTTAAGTCCACATGTTAACTATGTTTGCTACGCTAGAACTAAAATGAATCCATGTGATAGCTCATGCAAATATAAATACAGTAGAAACCTGTGTCTGTGGATATGAGGTGTCTGCCAGCAGGGATTAAAAAATGAAACTGTGACACAAATTAAAACATAACCGAATCCATTTTCTTTCTCCCCCTTTGAAGCAGAATTTAGCTCTTTGTTCATCAGTGTAGTCGTTGCTGTAACAACTGAATCTCTTCTTCCAACACAGCGGCGTCTCTGCCAGCCAATCTGTGAAACTGAGGTAAGACAGTATTAACCCTCTGGACTGCATCTGTGGTTTATGTCGTTTGCGTTTTCTCTGGGAGAGAAGACGGGAGCCACTGTTCTTTGAGCGACTTCAGAGTTAAGAAGTCAGAGTTCATGTACTGTGAGGAGATGGTGTGTGTGTGTGCTGGCTGGTGTTTGCCTCCTCTCTTCTCTCCTCTGAGTGTTTCTCCAGGTTCTGCAGATCCTCCAGCATCTCCTCGATCAGAGGGGGCATGGAGCCTGGGATCTCCATCTTCAGGGTCACCACCCGCTCAGCTCCTGTGGAAATATACATGTATTAGATAATGTGCGACAGCAGGACGACTACCTCCAATCACAGATCTTAAAGTTACAGAAGTTATTTGGTTAAAATAAGTGAAGGACTTTAGCAGGGTGTTGCTTTCTGACCTTTGGCGCTGATGCTGCGCAGGTCAGTGATCTTCATGAGGGCTTTGGGGAACATGAGGGGCATGCTGGGCCGCCGTTTACGGGAATAAATCTTCAGCGCCTCCAGCAGCGGCTCCTGCAGCACCTCCACCTTAGACGGCTCCTCCAGGTCCTGTCGGTCTGTTCAGACAGACAGGAAACACAGGTGAATATTTAGCATGCTAAAGGAATAGTTAAGACCTTACATGTAAATGTTTGTATTTTTTTCTGAGCTTCAGTACCTCCAGAGACGAGACAGATGGCGCTGAGCAGGCCACTCTCTGTGTCGTCCATCTGCAGTGGGAGCAGCTGGCCGGCAAATGTGAAGACCTGATCTGTCAGCGGTCCAAATCCTGCATTGTGGATCTGAGTGCGGGTCAGGGTCAACCCGTCAGAGAAAGTCATAGTGTCCTTGTCAGGAGTGTAACGAGTGCAAATCCTCAGGATCTGGATTCAAGAACAGAATGAGGAAGAGGAAGATAGATAAAAGATAATCAGGTCATGATGCATCATGAAACTGTGGCACGTAGTGTTGTCATGTGGGACAGGAGCAGCTGCAGGACAGCTTTGAAAATCATTTCAAGCTGGGTGTCATGTTTGTATTTGTGCACTTGCCAGAACTGAAGGTAAATTAAAGCCCCTTAGTTAGATAGCTCTACTGACCTAAGAGTTATTTCCTGACAATGGTGGTTAGCCACACTGTTGGATGATTTTTTTAGGTAATTTTAGACTTAATTTTATGCCCAAAATTTAAAAAACAAGGACTTCAGTAGCAGCTGCAGGTCGTACGTCATCCTCCGAGCTTGTGCAAGCGCACTGTCATGCCTCTTTGCATCAACTGATAAACATCAATCATTGTAAGCTAGCTTGTCAACTTATCTTTTATTTTGGCCACACTGAAGACGTCACTGGATCCGGACTGTTCACTACGTGCCATGGAGTGTAACTTTCTACTGGCTACACCTGCAGCGTACATACAGCGTACAGGTCAAAGCAAAGCAAGACAGGGAGCTTTGGGGTTGTGTGGGATTGTTTCTTTAATTTTTAAACCGAGCACAGCGCTGAGAAACTGCAACTTTTTCACCTAGTTCATGTACGATCTGGGCAAGTTAACATCTGAAGACTACAGCAGGCTACACTTTAAACTTGAGATCATATTTGAGACTTTTCATATGTCATGCAGAGCCATTTAAACATCCATGTTAACTCTGGCTCAGTCACACTTTCATTAATGTTGTGCTCTGCTGATTAAGAATTATAAACACAAGTTAGGACAGCACGCAGGGCCCACTGGACCTTTGTGTTTTTACTGCACTGTAACATATTCTAAGCTCACCCTGGTGCACAGTGTCGGGGAGAGAGTGACAAATATGAAGACCAAACAAGAAGAACCTGGCAAACAAAAGTCACACAGCGCCACATCTGGGAAAAAAACGTGTGAAAACTCAACGGAGCTCCTGAGGACACACGGCACTCCCCTGGTGCTATCAGAGAGTGTCACAGTCAGTGATCCGGCCCTGATGGTGACGCTGACAGACAGGCTTGGCAGTGAGCGACAGAGGAAGCAGAGGGAGGATGAAGGGGGATAAAACAAGCGTCACACTCTGCCCGAGGGCTGCTGTCTGTCTGCCAGCCGGCCTGTCAGTTTGTCTTTGGCATGAATGTGGGCCGACGACACCAGTCACGATCCACACAAGGTGTGAATCACAGTAGGAGCTGCGTATGTGTGTGTGCAGAGTTTAGAGAATCTTATGCGGGTTCAGGCAAAACGAATAAATGTAAAGCTGACTCTTTCATCACAACATTTGTGCTACAGTAATCTTAGGACACACAGAGACGTACCAGGATGTCCAGGCAGGCAGTTTTGAGCAGAGTGATCTGGTCGGCGATGGTCAGGCCGGTGAAACCAGGCACTCGCTTGGCGAACTCCACCACCTTGATGATGCACTTGGTGGCGAGCTCGCTGAACTTGTCCCACAGCCCGAGGTCCAGCTGGATCCTGTGGTCTGAGCTGGAGTTCTGGACGGAGGATCAGAATCAAAATCAGCATCAGAATAAGGTTTACAACAGGTGGATCTAACCAGGCAACCTGACTGGCCAACTAGACATTTAAAACACGATGATATCGGCGTGACAGCACCCCTTCCTCATCAGTAAATATAATATCATTTCCAAGGCGACATTGTAACTTTCAGAGCTGAATCAAAAACCAGTCGGCTACAAGGTGCTTTTTTAATTTATAATTTTTTTGCTCACTTTCAAGCCCAGTTCAGACCAAAGATTCACGATGAGACGAAACCGTTTTAGAAGTTGCAGCGGTGCGAACTTGACGTCTGAGCTCGACTCAAGCCGGCTGATGGCGTCAAAATGCACAAATGTCTCCACTGTGACCTCTAAACTGATTAAAATAAGGAACTTTAAAAATCAAAGTGTAGCATCAATAGAACAGAACAAACTGACCTCTACACAAAGTATCTAAGATATCCTTTTTGAGGGATTTAATTTAGTCACGTTAAGACTTCCGGTCTTTAAGAGTTCTGATTAATCTAAAACCAGGACGCCTTTAAAAAAGCAAACAACATACATTGTTCCTTCTGTACTTCCTGATTTCACTCATACCTCCAGGCGTTACTCACCTTTGACGACGTCAAAATGATGTGAAAACCATTCATGCTGTTATGGAAAGGACACACCCAGATCCATTATACCAGTAAGATTACCGTCTTGTGTAACACCAGGGAGTTTTTAGTTTTGTTATGAAAGAAGTTACTCCTGTTTGTGTGCTGCAGTTTGCACGCACATTTCCGTGCATGTTCTTCACACGTGTTTACTGTTGACAAGAACATGTTTCTCCCGCCCTTGTTTGTATGAATTTACATCGGTGCCCACCACCTCAGTTGCTACAGTTTTGGTGAAGATTTCCATTCCCTCCTCCCAGATTCTTTCCTTCTAAGCAGGAATGGTGTTTCCCGTGGGTTTACAGATTTAGGTTTAGGTTTAGTAAATATGGAGAAACTCAATTTGACTGTTAAGCAACTAAAAATGGACTGCGTGTTTCATTTGCATATTTCTAGTTCTAATCAAGCAGTGACCTACAGGCTTGAAACATTGAAGCCAGGGCTGAAGTGTCAAAAGCTGCAGTTCCTCAAATGGTCACTTGAGGCTGACTGCAGAAGCGAGTTAATCCCTACAGATCCCCATCTTAATATGCCTGACTTCACAGCAGAAATGTTTACAGCCTGTTATAAAAATGATTTTGGTCTCTAGAGTTAATTTTCCCGTTCATGACAGCTAAACAGGGGCTGAATTTTTACATAACTCACCTATTTACATTTTATTAAGGCTTAAAGTTATGAATAATCAAAGGCACGGCCTCTATAACTGACAGGCTGTCTGTGAGGTGTCGCTAAGGTGTGAGTCAGATCCACCTGTCGCTCCTCCACAGCTCCAAACCAAAATAGCCAGCCGAAATGTCGAGCAGGAGCCCACAAACCAGTGGGGGATGTCAGAGTGGATATGTCCATTATTTAATGGTGCTGTCAGACCTAGAGTTGTCTCCTTTGGTCTGAATCAGGGACTACTGTATAATTGCCTAGAGTTGGTTCGTGTTCTCACGGCAGCATTTACAAGCGGACCAGATCAAATGCTTTGTGTGAGAAAGCTGCTCTTGATTGGTCAGAATTTCCATGTGGGAAAAATCCAGGAAGTAAAGCAAACGTTGAAGAAGAGTACACTTGCAAGATAAATGTGACACTTTCTAATGTCACAATGGAGGGACAACTGCGCAGGTTGATTTTAGAGCTGCTCATCGTGGACTATATTGCTGTCATTGTTCATTTTAGTCAAACCATACATTTTGAAAACGAGGCGCGGCTCCAACTAGAAAACAATGTTTTGATGCATTGGATGTGCTGAATGTGCATATTAAGGCAGTACAGGAGGAGGTGCACATTAATAATCCTCCAGGACTGTAACATGCTCATGTTTAACCCAAACAATGTGTCATGTGACTGCAGTTGGTTCACATCCAGGTCGGAACACCTTCTCACCACAAATGAACCGCACCAGAGTTTGTTTGTAACCTTCTTAAAGAGTAACCACCTCTTCAAGAAGGTCTCGGTCTGGTTGTTTTGGTGCACACCTGAGTGTGACTGCGGTGTTCACACCTGCCCAAACGAACCGCACTGAGGGGGCAAAGGAACTTGAGTTCAATTGAACCGAACCAAACAGGGCAGGTGTGAAAGCACCCTGATACAGTCTATGGTGTCTATGTTTCAATGAAATTCCTCTGGAAATCAGCTGCTTAAAATCTCAACTGATTAAATCCTAACTAAAATAAAAACAGTTAGTCTTTATTTTACCCACAGTTCCTACCAAATTACACTGTTCTATTCTGGAAACCTTGAGGGAATTATTTGGAAATTACAGACTCACAGGACAAAATGTTCTTGAATACTCTTCTTTACTAATTTCCTCCAAACAATCTCTACAGTATGTCAACTTGCTCATATTTGAATATAGATCTGCTGAGTACATATACTGTTTCCAATTTGAATAACAACAAAAAATACTAATATTAAATGATGACATTATCCCACATAAACTGATTTATCATCCTGGCTGTTCTCTCTCTGTTGAATGTCAATGTTTACAGATTTATGATTTCAAACAGTAAATAATAATTATGTGTGGTGCTTTAAATGCCACTGTCCCCGGATATCTTAAATCTCTTCTTGTTACAGATCACAGTCAACATTCCTACATTTTCCCTCAGGCTTCAGACTCATGAGAAAAAGCTCTGCAGCTCAAAACTTGTTTTGCTTCCACAGTGCCAGTTTGTGGAAAAGTCTGCTTTTGTAGATTAATAACTCACCTTGCACAGGAATGTTTAATACATAAGACATGTGGCAAGTTTTGGGACACTTTAACCACTTCCATATATATTTCCTGTTAGCGTTTTATCTTCTATTAGCAGCCACGACATAAATATCTGTTTGAATTTAATGCTATTCCTCAAATATTCCATATCTAAATCAAATGAAGCAGTGGACAGAGAGGACGGCTTTGATCTCCTCCTCTCTGCAGATTATTTTCTCTCCGTAGAGGAATATTATTCGCATGTGGTGACTCACTGTGGTGTATTTTCCCAGCTGGCACAGAGAGGGGAAGGTCTCTCTGTGAGCCATGCAGATCTTCTCCACTATCAGGCCGAGCTCCGCCGTCAGCTCGTACGTCTCCATGATGGTCATCTTCACGGCCTCCTTCTTCCCCTTCCTGGTGTTTCTGTCATTTCTCACCGCTGAGGAAAAGGAGGACCAAGGTTAGAGCATGTTTAGGAGATGAGTAAAAGGGATTTAAACAGTTAATATGACAGTAGTGGATTTAAAATCATGAATTCTGTTGGCATTTTGATGCTTTTCTTTTTTTAATTTAGGTCACGAGCCCTTCCATGACAAGATACTTTTTTGTCCACACAATTCAGAACAGACAGACATTACTGGAAGTGACAGCAAACAGGGAGCTGCACAAAAATCCTCTGCAACAATGACAAGATCTGTAGAAGCAACTCAACTGTGTGTCCAGTGTGTGTGTGTGTATATACCGTACATAAACTGTGTGTACACATTATGTTCTTGTTCTTGTTTTGACAAGTGACATTTCCAGTGGCCAAATGTTTAAAGGACTGATTACTTAAATAGCAAACGGTACATAAATAACTCTAAGCTTTTTTAAAAAGGGGGAACGTCTTGTACCAACGTTTTACAGTCAGTGATACACCACGGAAATTAACAGTTCGTCTCCTAGCAACAGCAGCTCTCAGATGTCAATCAACCACCAACCAGCCAAATGAAGCAGCGCACACCCAGAGGCTTGGATCTTTGTTCCTTAAGAAATGTCCGGAAAATGGTTTCAGCCACTACAGCTACATTATCATCACAGTTTATATTTCCTTCCATAAAAAGTGGGAAGACTTCAAATGTGAGTTCAACTTTTAAAACCATGAGTCATATTTAAAGGGACAGTCCACCCCCAAATCAAAAATACCTATTTTCCTCTTACCTGTAGTGCTGTTTATAAGTGTTGGAGATTACGGCCGTAGAGATGTCTGCCATCTCTCCAATATAATGGAACTAGACGGCACTCATCTTGTGGTGCTCAAAGCGCCAAAAAACACATTTGAAAAACTCCACAGCAATGTCTCTTTCCAGAAACCATGACCCAGATACTCAAGATAAACCACAGACCTTGTTGTGAGCAGTTTCATGTAGGAACTATTTTTTTCTGCTGAAATACACACCATGCAGGCTGTTCTCATGCATACCTATAAAAATGAATGTGACAAAATTCGTACATATCCCACATAATCATGAGCCAGTAATTTGTGTATTACCCACCCAGGAAGTGCTTCCTGTAAGGGCTCATTTAAGCTCAATGTTAGATATGTAGATGGAGATGGAGACGGACAGAGCCTTCCATCCGAACTTTGTGTTAATTTTGTCCGTATTTGTGCACATTTTCTGAAAGCTTTCAGGTACGGACAAAATAGAACAGTACCACTGAAGATCTTGGGGGCAGTGGAGCGTAGTTTAAGCAAGAGACAACCACTGGAGAAGATGAAGACATTCAAAAAAGGCGAATTGGAACGAATCAGTAATATAGTGAAAACATTCTCCGTCCACAAGCTGCGATGTGTTTAACGGCCTCACAGATCACCTCCGTCTAAAACACTGCCTCCAATAAAAGGTACATTATTACAATCGCCTCCACCGTCGCCTTGTTTGTTGTGTGAAACGTTTGACTCCATCTATTGGCTGTATCTATGCCAACATAAATGACACTTGGATGTGTGAGGGCAGTGACGTTTACAACGTTTCAAACTGATGGATTTATTTTAGTACGTATAGGGAGTATCAGTGAGCCTTAAAGGAAATGGCCACTTTAGAATGAAAATACAGACAGTACTTACTGACCCTCATGCCGACAAGAAGTCCAATGTAGTTTTTTAATCCACAAAACTCGTTCGGGGTATCGGAGGATAACAGCTAGCTGGAATAACAGCTACACTTGAAGTGCATGGAACCCACATTTTTGAAATGTAATAAAACTCTGCTAATGCATTTCAAAAACGTCAAAACGGCTCGTCCGTCATAATCCAAGTGCCCTGAAGCTGTGGCATGCAAAATTGACTTGAAAAGATGTGATTTACTCCACTTTTATAGCATCATTTCTCACCGTGGTCAGTTAGCCTGCCCTAGCTGTTATCCTCCGATACCCCTAACGAGTTTTGTGGATTAAAAAACTACACTGGACTTCTTCTCGGCATGAGGGTCAGTAAGTTCTGTCTGTATTTTCATTCTTAAGTGGCCATTTCCTTTAAGGCTAGTTCACATTACACGACTTTCACCCTGATTTTGCGTCAGGGAGACTATCGTAATCTTTTGAGTGTTCATACCTGGCGACGTGTGTTTCTGTCATCGGGAGTCTCCCCAGGTTACGACCTGTGTGTGTACACCACAAGATTTTTCCACCGAGCCCTCGCTGACAGAGCCCCAGATAACACGGTGACGTCACCAAACTACATTTTTTAACTTGGAGACAACACATCATAAAGGCATGGATATTCTTCCCATTGTTGAATCAGATCTGCCTCCAGGGCCTGGGTCCAAACACAATGCGCTCCCTGTGATCCTGTAGACGCCGCCATTGTTGTTGCTTGCCGGCTTGTCAGTGTTGCCAGGTCCTGGGAGAGAAACAAGCAACCAGGGCTATGGAAACAAGCCCAAAAGTAGCGACGGATATCGGATGGGCTCGTCGTGGCAGACTCTCTGCCAACTCACCTCCGACCCAAAGTGGCTCTCGAGATCCTCTGCGACGTCAAAATCGTGGTGAAAATCGTGTAATGTGAGCTAGGCTTTAAGGAGACAGGTTGGGGTGGTAGATGGGTCACAAAACACAGGACTTACACCCCAAAAAACAGTGTTCTGGATTGTGTAAAACCAAGTAAACTTTGAGTCATTTTAAGGTATGTTTTCACCATATTTCTTTTTTCTAAACCTAAGCAAAGTAACTTTACTTGACCAAATCTAACCTCTGTAACTTTACATTAAGTATGTCATTTTGCATGTCATTAGATATCATAAAACTGTTGAGTGAGGATACGTTGCAATACACAGAAGGCAGAATGCATCTACTGCTAGCTCATCTAGCCCAACTAAGCTACTTAGGGCGGCAGTGGCTCAGTCCATAGGGACTTGGGTTGGGAACTAGAGGGTTGCTGGCTCAAGTCCCCGTTCGGACCAATTATGGAGCGTGGACTGGTAGCTGGAGAGGTGCCAGATCACCTCCTGAGCACTGGTGCCCTTGAGTAAGGTACCAAACCCCCAACTACTCTGAGTTTTTCAAATGTATTTTGTGACGCTTTGTTCCTTTATACTGGAGGTGAGGCAGACATCTGTATGGCCAATATCTCCAAAACTCTGCATCTCACACCAAAACTATAAATAACACCACAGAAGAGGAAAAGATTCATTTTGATTTTGGGTGAACTGTCCCTTTAAGAGCTTCATACTGCTAAATGTTGCCCCAAATTAAATCTGCAGCCTAAAGAGAAAACTGTGTCACAGTACACACCTTAGCAGCCAGGGAGACCAGACCAAAACTATGTGAACAGGGGTTTCCACATATTTTTGGCCATGTCATGCAGAGCAGGTGAATGGAATTTCAGTTGTGGTTGTTAATGCCTATAAAAAGGACGGTGAGCTGTTCTCAGAGGAACTCTTTCGTTGGCAGAAAATATTTTCCAGTGAAACAAGTTGGCAGTGAGGATGTGTGGATGAACTGTTTCTCAGGGAGCATGTGAAGCTGGCTAATGCACCCTAACCAGGTTAGTGTTTCATAATCACTTCGGTAACGGTGTCAACACGTTTCAGTGCGTCCCACTGACTTGGCTCAGGCAGCTACACACATGTCAGAGCTCAGGATTATGCAACACCTCCGTCTCTGCCTTACTCTAGCCTCCTCCTCCTCCTCCTCCTCCTCCTCCTCCTCCTCCTCCTCCCCCTCCTCCTCTCTGGATGCCCTACATTCAGCCATTATTGTGTAAACACTCCAGTGAGATCATATTACACACCGACTGACTGAAGCGGCCCAGCAAGCGGTTACATAGCATCCATCTGTCTGCTACATGTGATGTATTTATGTAATGTGTGTGTCTGAGTGTGGAGCAGCAACAATGAGAACATGTGGATGGGAGGATCCTTCACTGCTGCCCTATCGCTGTCCACATAACACACATTCTCTTATCTAGGTTGGTGACTTTGTTTCTGGAGCTTCAGTTTACTGCAAACTTCTCGATAAAACTCAGTTTTATGTAAGTTTATTTTACTCAGCTCATAAGAAGAATACATTCTCCCTTTACCATCTGAACATGCAGATAGTTTAGTTTTGATTTAATGAGGTTGTAAGGGCTCTGCTGCCACCCAAATATAGAGTCACTGTGACAGGCTCAAGGCAAAATGTCATATTTTAACAGCTCAACAGTAGCACGTCTTTCCAGAAACTCACTTACACTGAATAATTTCACACTTTTAACAGCAAATCTACAAAGCAGCCTCCTTAAAACTGTCCACAGTGAGGTTTCTGTGGAATATCTTTTTTTAAGCAGGACATTTACAGAGTAAATCCTCTTAGTGGGCATTTCCCATTGACTGACATCTGTGTGTTGCTAGGAGACGCGCTGTCAATATCCCCCTTCAAAAAACCCATTAGTGATTGGAGCCGTCTGTCCCTTAATGAACATTAGACATCTGGGAGGACTCATCCTGCTTTGTTTTCCACTTGAAAAATGGAAGCTAGTTAGCATAGCTTGCAAATGTGAGCACTGATTCCCACTAGATGCCATTTCTCATTATCTTTAGACATCTCTTTTGACAGGTCAGAGTTTGGTTTCAGAAGTTCAGGGGAAGCAATGAAGTCAAAGGTCGCCGCCACAATCACAGTCTAACGAATAATACACTATGATGCTTTGCATATTAACACTAATCATACAAAAAATGTTAAACTCAATGTTAAAGGAATACTCCGATGATTTGGGAGTTATGCCCTTCTCTATCATTTTCATATTGAGACAACATGATTGATATCTTTTTTGTGTCTGTACATCCAGTGGCTGGGTCTCAGCGGTTAGCATTGCGGCTTAGCTTAGCGAATACAATTGAAGTCTATATGGGGTCAGTAGCCTACTCGTAAAAGTGAACAAATAAACGTTACAGAAACCCTGAAGCTGGTATTTCTGCACGT